ACACACACACATATACACACACACACATATACACACACATACACACACACACATACACACACACACACACACATATGCACACATATACACACACACATACACACTCAACACACAAGTATTCTTAATGCATTAATTGTGCTTGTAATGCACTGCAACAACAGTTATAATGCATTATAATACTTATCTATTCATTGTTACACCTTTAGAAAGTGTAATGCATTAAAACACGACAAACAACCAGTTTCAGATGTAAAAAGGAATCTATAGTTATTAAAGTGCTTTTGCATTATGAATAGCATTATAACACATTACACACAAAGGCTTGACGTGTTACCCAACACTTTTGTGCATTAACACAGAAAGGTTTCCAGCTGTGGAGGATCAGAGTCGAGAGAATCGTGCTCTGGCGCTGAATAAGTGACTTACGCTGTTGTTGGACAAGGACAGGTTACAGAATTTGGCTTCCACTTCACGCTTCGTCAGTTTCTCACTCTGCGTGTGAAGGAGAAAGAGAGAGACGGAAATATATTCCAGGTTACGCAAGAGCAGAACGAATCCGCTGAACCTGAACACTGCCGCTTAAATTGTTGTTGTTTTCCCCAAAAAATGTAAAAAGTTTTCTGTTTAATTTAATTGCAATTTTGTTTTTGTTTTTCCGAGCAAAAAATAAATATCATACATTTTCCCCTGATTTACAGAAGAGAGCCACTAAAATGCCATTCAGTGTAACAATCTTGTCAGGCGAATTTACAACAAAAATCAATTTATGACATATTAAAAGACTAATTACTTTCACCCCAAATACTAATTAGTTGCCATTTACATTTTTTAAAATATGCCACTATGAAAGCTTTTGCCCATTTGGTCAGTAAGAATTTTTTACTCATTTAAAACAATAAAATTTAATATGCTCAGTTATTCTTTTATATATTTTAATATGCACAAGTCAGAATAAGCACGTCGTTTGAATTTTTGCATAAATATTGTGCTACACTGAATGACAATGTAACATTGTTTCAACCAAGTTGTAACATTTTATCCTCCGAAAACTTATTTGAAGCCTTAAGAGTAGACACTTTACTTACATTTAATGTGACTTTTGTCAATTTCTTTTGATGCGGACATTTGCATTGCATTGAAAACATGATCATTTCCACCATCTCTCGGACTCTTATTGTTACGTGTTTTCTGTGCATCGTTTACATTAATTATCTACAGTGCAATTAGACATCTGTAAAACTACTTTCACAGACACGGCAGTTTTCCACCAAAACAACAGCTCAAGGGTTCAATGCTTGCAAGTTAAGAAATGAAGACTTAAGCAGTGTAAAGATAATAATATAATGTGCTGAGATTTATATGCAATTGAAGTCAAACACGCAAAACAGTGCATTTCCCACATGCTTTCGGTGTTCATAATACAAGCTGAATTACACTATAATTAGAGTGTTTTCCATTTTTATTTTATTCCTGTTCTGAATGCTGTTAAATGTAAAGGACTTGTTGTGCAGAGACAGGAACTAAAATACATGGTGTTTATAATGTTTGCAATTGTTTCGTTTTATTTACCAGTATTCTGCATTATTTATGAAAGTAATAATAAAATGTTTAAATAAAGTGTTATGTTTTTCAGAAAAGACGGTGTATGAAATGATTCAAACCAGAATAATGTAGAATTAAAAGAAATATTTTTAAAATTAAAATAAAACACTAATTAAAAAAAAATCATAATAATGTAAAATTTAAATATGCAAATAATTTCAACTTTGTAAAACTGAATATAATTTAAAAAAAAGTAAAATTGCAATAAATAATTTAATGTTTTTTTTCTCTCAACGATGCAATTTTGACCCTATACAACTTATTTTCCAATAAATATGGCACTTACGAAAAAATATTAATTTATTATTTTACAGTACAGTTGTATTATGACAATAATACTGAAATAGTATTATCGTAATATGGTAATGTTCTGGAATTACTGTCTTCAGGACAATGATAATAATAATAATTTATAGTTATAATCACAATATTCAAACAGTGTGAATGTAATCTATATGTTATCATTGGTGTTTGCCATATTGCATTGTATTGATGTGGTGTATTTATGTGTACTGATGCGAGAGTGAGATGCAAGCCGATTTTTGGAGGAAATTATAAAAATAAAAGTGGAAATTAAGAAACTGAATTGAAGTAATGGAGTGAGACACTATCGCAACTAAAGAGACATCCGAGTACGCTTTAAAGTCCAGGTCAAGTAAATGCAAAGACAGCTCAAAAGCTCATAACTTCGGTCTCAGATTGATGCATTTGACTTTAAATTGCTATAATGTTATATTAATATGATATTAATCACCATGGCGTCACACAGTATGTTGGAGGCCTGAGTGAGTTTGTCTTCTGGGACGCCGCTGTGCATCAGAACGGCCTTCAGCAGACTCGTGTGGTTCAGGTGGACGGTGTAGTTTCTGTCCTGAAAACAAACACGGATCATCAGACATCCAGAATGCTATTAACCCCTTACACGTCACCCCCCCGCCCGCCCTTTTTGAACATAGACGTGAAGTGCACTATTCAAACTGAAATGTTATAATTCATGAACGCTTTTGAATACAGAACTAAGGTCTCTTTCTAAAAACGACAATCAGCAGATTATTGCAGAAGTGAAATCATTTTAAAAAAATGAAAGTATAAATTTTTTTTATAGAAGTTAAAATTTACTGTACAATACTATTTTTATTATTTTTTATATAAAATAAATAGTTTAAAAATAGTTTAAAATCCTAAATTGCTATAAAATTAAAGCCATGTGTCTAAACAAGTTGTGTTCCGAATTTGAAGTTGATATTAAAAAAAAAATGTACCTTCCTGTGCAATTTTGTTTAGGCGTTATACCACAAACCGCCACCGGGTGACACACAAACGCTACTTTTGGATGCATTTTTCTGTCACAAATGTTTACAGTTCTCTCTCAATATTACTTCTATCACAAAATGAGACTCAGACCTTTCCAACGATATGCATTTTGTCAAGATTATAAAAAGTTTTGATTCTAAAAGACCGTAATACATTTAGTAAAATGACTCCTCCCACTAAGAGGGAGGAGACTGCTAAAATATTTAAAGTACCATTTCCATGGTAATGCAATGCCCGCTTTCAAAATGGTTTTCACAGGATGAATCTTGAGGTTTTAAGCTTTCAAGTGATATATGATTTCTAAAACATGCGATGGGTAAAATGGAAACGAAAAATAATTTTTGAACTCCTGTTATGATGTATATGTTTTGAGGTGCACTCTTGTCATAAATCAATCTATTACTGTTCCTACATCATTTTTAACAACAAACAGTGGTAAAATATCTATTTAGGAGTCTTAGACCTTTCCAACGATATATAGTTTGTCTTGATTAGATTAGGATTTAATGGTAATATACTGAAGTAAACTTAGGTGTTTACTGTGTTTGACGAGACGGTGACACAAATTTTACGATTCGATTTTCATTCACAAGCTTGCGATTCGATTCAATATCGATTGTTTTGGATATATATCAGGTACACATGCAACATTTTCTAAACTAACGCTGTAAAATATATACGGTATGAGGGCCAGTTGGTACTACATTATAATATTTAATATTTAAAACTGACGGATTTTTTTAGGCTATACAACGGCTTAAATTACACTTAAATGAAGTTTTTATAATAAAAGTTACAATTACATAATATTTACATTTAGTCATTTAGCTTTTTAGCTAGTGTTAGAGGCTTTTTTTGCTTTTTCTAATTGTATAATAATTAAAAAGAAAAACAGATAGAATACAAAAAGATTAGAGAAGCTAGAGTTGGCTTAGTTTTTTTAAGAAAACAAGCAGTTAGTAAACAAATTAATACTTTTATTTAGCGAGGATCCTTTCAATTTATCAAAAGTGATGATAAAGACATTTTATAATGTTACAAAAAATTTCTATTTCAGATAAATGTTGCTTTGAAATCACAGGAATAAGTTACATTTTAAAATATATTCAAATAGAAAGTTATTTTAAATACAAATATTTCAACATTTTACTGTTTTTGCTGTACTTTGGATCAAATAAACGCAGGCTTGGTGAGCAGAAGAGACTTCTTTAAAAAAAATTATAAAAATATTACGTTCAAAAACTTTTGACTGGTACTGTACATGCATTTAAAATATATTTAATACACCAATTTAATATTAAAATTATGAAAAAGTTGTTTGAATCAATGATTCAACGACTCACTCATAAACCTACTGGATGAATCAGCGTTTTAGAATGATTCTCTTGAATAAATTATTAATTCAATTATACATGTTTTAAGTCACTTGTCGCCACCTACTGGAGAAACAATGCAATCGACACAAACGTTACGTGGCATTTACTTTCAAACGCGGATTTGCTCTATTTTGGTCGCGCTACCCATAGACATCAATGTTTATATCTGCATTACAAACTTTCATCCCAGTGTTTCTGGGATAATATTAATGACTGTACGACAGAAATAATACTGTGTGGATGAAAAGACTGTTTGTGATCCGGTAAGACTTTGTCAAATGTTTAATAGACACGGGAGAATCGTCGTCATTTAGAAATGAGATCGTGTGGTTGTCTGAATTGAGATCGCCATCTTTTAACGATTAATCGTGCAGCTCTAGTGGCTGTCATACAAAATATAAATTAAACATTGAATAACAGAATGAATATATTATATGGTGCATATATTAAGCAAAACGCTCTTCTCCACAGTTTATTTTTCTATCTGACTAAAGAGTCTATGGTCACCGAATATGTTTTTTCTGAGGTAAATGTGACGTTACGTGATAGTTTCGTTATATTGACGTCTTTGCGCGGCTGAAACACTGATTGAGTGATTACACGAGACAGGATACGGATTGTAAAGTTGTACTCTTTCTTTTAACTTGCCTTCAGATGTTCATTCATGTTTATTTTGTGCTATAACTAGTAATAAAGCGGAGGAGATGATCAGTTCACTGAGGTCCTACAGCGATCACTCCACATTAAACAGCATTTATTGTTCAAATACTGCAGTACAATGCACATAATTTGAAATTTGAGACTTTGTTTCATATTAAAAGTAACAAAGCACAAAGCTTAGAGCGATTTATTGATGGGAGGTGCGCTACAATGTTCCATTCATTAACTAAAAACAGGTGAGACTAATCCATTCTTGGGATTTACGAATCGATATCGTCTCGTAAAAATGAGAATGGATTAAAATCGAGATATCAATATATTTACCCAGCCCTAATAATGATGTGGTGAAGTGGTGTGGTACCTGCAGCGCGCTGAACTCCTGTACGACCTCAGAGACGGTGTAAATGGCCTCGGCGTCCGGCAGCAGACTGTTGCTGATGGGAATCACGATGTCGAAGGCACACTCCAGCAGCTCTCTGGGATGAGCTCGATCCAGCTTCCTCGGCCTGTAGACGCGCTCGATACTGTACCTGCAGAAACAAACTCATCACGTCAGGACAGCAGTACACATGCACTGGACTAGTCATTACAGATTAAACTTCATGTGCATTACTGGTTAAAAGTTATTCATGTTTCTCTTCTGCTCACCAAAGCTGCATTTATTTGATAAAAATACAGTAAAAATAGTGAAATATTATTACAATTTAAAACAGCTGTTTTCTGTGTGAATATGTGTTAAAATGTAATTTATTTCTGCGATCAAAGCTGTATTTTCAGCATCATTCCTCCAGTCTTCAGTGTCACATGATCTTCAGAAATCATAGATTTGAAAATAATGCACTAAATACAAAGTACCTTTTGAGATGTGAAATGTTGTTTCTGGCCACAAATCTGGCAAACGCCAGCTGAAGAGAGACAATAAGACAAAACACACAATTTAGACCATATATGTCCCTGCAGCACAAAAGCAGTGTTGAGTCGCTGGGGGATATTTGTAGCAATAGCCAACAATACATTGTATGGGACACAATTCTTTTATGCCAAAAATCATTAGGATATTAAGTAAAGATCATGTTCCATGAAGATATTTTGTAAATTTCCTACCGTAAATATATCAAAACTTAATTTTTGATTAGTAATATGTAGGGATGCACCGATACCGATACTGGTCTCCTGTACTCGTACTCGTTAAAATGTCCCGATACCAAACGCCGATACCACACAGCATGTGATAAGCGCCATATTCAGACAAAGAAACACCAACAACAGAACAACAGACAGCAGAATGGAGTTATTAGAGATTAAGGATGTCTACTATGAAGTATATGTATGCAATGAATGAGATCGCCATCTTTTAACGATTAATCGTGCAGCTCTAGTGGCTGTCATACAAAATATAAATTAAACATTGAATAACAGAATGAATATATTATATGGTGCATATATTAAGCAAAACGCTCTTCTCCACAGTTTATTTTTCTATCTGACTAAAGAGTCTATGGTCACCGAATATGTTTTTTCTGAGGTAAATGTGACGTTACGTGATAGTTTCGTTATATTGACGTCTTTGCGCGGCTGAAACACTGATTGAGTGATTACACGAGACAGGATACGGATTGTAAAGTTGTACTCTTTCTTTTAACTTGCCTTCAGATGTTCATTCATGTTTATTTTGTGCTATAACTAGTAATAAAGCGGAGGAGATGATCAGTTCACTGAGGTCCTACAGCGATCACTCCACATTAAACAGCATTTATTGTTCAAATACTGCAGTACAATGCACATAATTTGAAATTTGAGACTTTGTTTCATATTAAAAGTAACAAAGCACAAAGCTTAGAGCGATTTATTGATGGGAGGTGCGCTACAATGTTCCATTCATTAACTGAAAACAGGTGAGACTAATCCATTCTTGGGATTTACGAATCGATATCGTCTCGTAAAAATGAGAATGGATTAAAATCGAGATATCAATATATTTACCCAGCCCTAATAATGACGTGGTGAAGTGGTGTGGTACCTGCAGCGCGCTGAACTCCTGTACGACCTCAGAGACGGTGTAAATGGGTACAATGCACATAATTTGAAATTTGAGACTTTGTTTCATATTAAAAGTAACAAAGCACAAAGCTTAGAGCGATTTATTGATGGGAGGTGCGCTACAATGTTCCATTCATTAACTAAAAACAGGTGAGACTAATCCATTCTTGGGATTTACGAATCGATATCGTCTCGTAAAAATGAGAATGGATTAAAATCGAGATATCAATATATTTACCCAGCCCTAATAATGATGTGGTGAAGTGGTGTGGTACCTGCAGCGCGCTGAACTCCTGTACGACCTCAGAGACGGTGTAAATGGCCTCGGCGTCCGGCAGCAGACTGTTGCTGATGGGAATCACGATGTCGAAGGCACACTCCAGCAGCTCTCTGGGATGAGCTCGATCCAGCTTCCTCGGCCTGTAGACGCGCTCGATACTGTACCTGCAGAAACAAACTCATCACGTCAGGACAGCAGTACACATGCACTGGACTAGTCATTACAGATTAAACTTCATGTGCATTACTGGTTAAAAGTTATTCATGTTTCTCTTCTGCTCACCAAAGCTGCATTTATTTGATAAAAATACAGTAAAAATAGTGAAATATTATTACAATTTAAAACAGCTGTTTTCTGTGTGAATATGTGTTAAAATGTAATTTATTTCTGCGATCAAAGCTGTATTTTCAGCATCATTCCTCCCGTCTTCAGTGTCACATGATCTTCAGAAATCATAGATTTGAAAATAATGCACTAAATACAAAGTACCTTTTGAGATGTGAAATGTTGTTTCTGGCCACAAATCTGGCAAACGCCAGCTGAAGAGAGACAATAAGACAAAACACACAATTTAGACCATATATGTCCCTGCAGCACAAAAGCAGTGTTGAGTCGCTGGGGGATATTTGTAGCAATAGCCAACAATACATTGTATGGGACACAATTCTTTTATGCCAAAAATCATTAGGATATTAAGTAAAGATCATGTTCCATGAAGATATTTTGTAAATTTCCTACCGTAAATATATCAAAACTTAATTTTTGATTAGTAATATGTAGGGATGCACCGATACCGATACTGGTCTCCTGTACTCGTACTCGTTAAAATGTCCCGATACCAAACGCCGATACCACACAGCATGTGATAAGCGCCATATTCAGACAAAGAAACACCAACAACAGAACAACAGACAGCAGAATGGAGTTATTAGAGATTAAGGATGTCTACTATGAAGTATATGTATGCAATGAATATAACGTTAAACATTCAGTGTTAACGCCTGTATAGCTGATGTGTGCAAGCTGATGAACAAAGCACGCTGAGTGGATTGAGTGCGCGGCGGCACAGATGTGCGAGCTTGTCGAATGAATATATCTTTCTCATAGACATCACCGGAAAGCTTGTAGTTCGGTCGGACATGTCAAAAACAAGCAAGTAAAACAATGCACAAGTTACTTAACGGTAGAGAGAGAGCACACTTCTGTTGTGTGATCTTTGATGTTCACTCACTTAGCACTCGCATCATTTGGATTAAAACTAAATCATAAAAATAAGACCATTTATAGAGGCATTCACTATAAACATCATTTATTTTCAATCTTAGGCATACACGACTTTCTGGCGAAAGTGAATCTAGCAGCCTGTGTGAAATGAGCTGGTCAAGTTCATTTTATTTAATTATATTTTCTCTATAGCGCTATAATTCTGTATGATTTATAAGCTTTTGTCCCCGTGGGGACCACAATTTAGGTCCCCACCGTGACACGAGTCCCCATGAGTCTGTGTGTAGTCAGGTTTAAGTCCCCCCCAGAATATATAAACCAGTACACACACACACACTCTTTCTCACACACACACACACTAGTATTTGTAAATATTAAGCTGCAAAACGCCTATTTAAATATGAATTCTGAGTGTCTCTGTGTTAATGAACGCCGCAGACAAGCGGTTTTGTTTACTACTCGTACTGTAACGCTTCTGGTGATATTAACGTCTGTCGTCTCACTAATGAGGACATAAATACATGAACAACATCTCCAGAACTGCTCTGAGAGTCACTGCATCAGCATCTGACCGTTTCATTTAATTAGACATGTTAAAACACAGAATTTGGTAACAATAAAACAAAGTTGGAAAAAATAAAACATTTCATCGGGCCCCAAACATGTAATTTTTTATATCATATCATATAATTTATAATTCATTATATGAATTATTTTAAGCTTTAAACTATGATATTGTTCAGCAATATCACACCAGCAGGAGTGCGGTTTTCCCAAATATCTGCACCATCGATTTATACAACAGTTCAATAAACAAGTTCATATTGTGTTATATTTTAGACACAATATTGTCTGTTTTGATCCATGTCATAAATGAAAATAGTTCCAATCAAAAATCCTTGCTTCGTTTCTGAATGAATCAGGATTTTTTAAATAATTTTATATTTCAATATCTGATTACACTTTATTTTGATAGTCCACTTTAGACATTCTAATAACTATTAAGTGACTTATAGTGTCAATTATGTCAACTAATTCTCATTAATTCGCAACTAACATGTACTAATTCTCAGAGTGGACTGTTAGGCTAGGTTTAGGGTTCGTAGAATAAGTTAACATGGTAGAATGTCTAAAGTGCTACCCAATATTTATTTTTAAACGCATTAATAGCCATTTATTATCATTAGTTATGCATTAATTCTTTCTAAAGCTATTTTTTGCAATGTCTATGCAATGCTTTTCTCATTTAACACAATAATGACTTTGCTCTTTTAGTGGCCAATTTCTCAGCCAAAATTGATGTGTGATTAATTTGGGATTAATTCATCAATGTCCACATTGTGTAATTAATTTGATTACAATTGTAATCGCTTGAGAGCTCTATAATAAACACCACTGCACTAAACGCACATTTCTGGCTGTCTGTTGTGTTATATTTATTTTATCATTGTTATTCATGTTTCAATCGTTGTTTTGTTATTATTATTATCATTCGGATTTATTTTTATAATTTTCCTGAGTGTACATTTTTGTGTTTGTGAATTTTATGTTGTGCGGGAAATATGAGTTAAAAATAAAAAACTTCAATTACAAAAACAAATTCACATTTCTGCTCTTTGCAGATACAAGTGTGTTTATTCTCAACTTTCTTCTCGAAATTTTGCGAGTTTTTTCTCGTAATTTAATGAGTTTATTCTCAACATTTTATTTCGACTTTCTCGAAATTTAACGACTTTTTTCTCGTAATTTAATGAGTTTATTCTCAACATTTTATTTCGACTTTCTCGAAATTTAACGACTTTTTTCTTGTAATTTAATGAGTTTATTCTCAACATTTTATTTTGACTTTCTCGATATTTAACGACTTTTTTCTCGTAATTTAATGTTTATTCTCAACATTTTATTTCGACTTTCTCGAAATTTAACGACTTTTTCCTCGTAATTTAATGTTTATTCTCAACATTTTATTTCGACTTTTTCTCAATTTAACGACTTTTTTCTTGTAATTTAATGAGTTTATTCTCAACATTTTATTTCGACTTTCTCGAAATTTAACGACTTTTTTTCTCGTAATTTAATGAGTTTATTCTCAACATTTTATTTCGACTTTCTCGAAATTTAACGACTTTTTCCTCGTAATTTAATGAGTTTATTCTCAACATTTTATTTCGACTTTTTCTCGAAACGTAACAACTGTTTTCTGGAAATTTAACGACTTTTTTCTGGAAATTTAATGACTTTTTTCTCGTTATTTAATGAGTTTAATCTCAACATTTTATCTCGACTTATTTCTTGAAATTTAACGATTTCTTTCTCGAAATTTAACGACTTTAATCTCAAGATGGTTTTATTTTTTTTATTATTGCTTGGCCCTAAATCCTCTTCCATAGAAATGTTTAATTTTTTTATTTATTTATTTATTTATTTAATCCAAACATTTCTGATGCCTTTTTTATTTACATTTAAAATGCAGGCCGCTTTATAAGATGCTTTATTGCTTTTATGTCTTCCAAAATCCCATTTTCTCGATTTATTTCTTGAAATTTAACGATTTCTTTCTCGAATTTAACGACTTTAATCTCAAGATGGTTTTATTTTTTTTTATTATTGCTTGGCCCTAAATCCTCTTCCATAGAAATGTTTAATTTTTTTATTTATTTATTTATTTAATCCATCCATTTCTGATGCCTTTTTTTATTTACATTTAAAATGCAGGCCGCTTTATAAGATGCTTTATTGCTTTTATGTCTTCCAAAATCCCATTTTTAATGCAAATCGTAACTCCCGCTCCAGCATCGGCTGGTGAAGCAGAGGATCAGGAAGTATGAGAGCGGAAGCACGACCCAGAATGCTGTGCGTCTCACCGTGTCGTCTGAAGATCCTGGTGACCGTCTCGTACACGTACTGCTGGACTTTAGCAGTGTTGAAATGAAAACTGCCCTGCGGACAAACACAGGAAACACAGAGTCACTGACGGAGCTGATAAATAACAGCACAGCGCCACCTGCTGGTGTGGACACACTGTAAAAAATTATTCTCTTAGTTAGTATTTGTGTCTCGTTTTCTAGTATAAATATCTAAACATTCTTGAATCAAGATACATTTACTTGTCAAGTAAAGTGATTTAAGATATTAAGTCTTGTTTTCTACAAAAAAATAAATAAAAATTGCTTAAAACAAGCAAAAATATCTGCCGGTGGGGTAAGAAGAATAATCTTAATTCAAAGGCGAAACAAGATTAATTTCTTGCCCCATTGGCAGATATTTTTGCTCGTTTTAAGGAAAAACTAACGAAATTTAGATTTTTTTTTTACAGAGCAGACTCTGTAAAAGTGTTAGTTTAGTTTCAATGAGATTCTATTATAGTTTTTATTTATATTTATATATTTTTTTGTATTTTCCATTTTCATTTTAATTTTAGTTGAAGTTTTAATAATATATGCTTGTGTCATTTATTCGTTCGTTTTTGTTTTTAAGTATGTCTATATAGTTTATTTTATTTTTATTTCAGTTTTAGTTATTTTAGTACATAAAGTTAAACTAAATGAAAATGAGAAATGTTGCCTTGGCAACTAGCTGAAATAAAATATAATTATTTTCATTGTGAAAACCATACTTAAATGATTAAAAAAATTTTAGAAAGGAATTAAATAAATTGAAGACCTTTTTTTAAATATTCTAAAAGTTTTAAAATTTTGAGCTTTAAGATATTTTAATTAATGCATTTCCTCTCTTAATTAACATTGTTATTTTATAATTCATCAGTGACTTTATTCTAAAGAAATAAATCAATCAATCTTTAGAGGTGTAGCAATGCACTTATGTTTGTTACGATTCGATTCATGTATGATTCATGTATGTTGTGATTTGTTTCGATACGTGATACTTTAACAGTCAAAATAGAGTTGAAAGGGTATGTTTTAATTATTACTTCTAATGCATACAATAATCAATTAACTAAAAGAAGTCAATCGACCAGAACCGAAATATTCAGGATTCTGCTTAACTAAAAATACAGCATTCTGTTGCTAAATACAATTTTAAAAAGTGTTAAATCTTATAGTTAATGCATTTCATTTTTAATTTATTAATAATGAGTAATACTAATTAAAATAGCTAACATGGAAGCTCAAGTGTGTACCGTATTTGATGCGCTCTTTTTATGTGTTGCTCATTGTTTATAAGTGAATAAAAGCCTAAATTAAATTTAAAATTAATTAATAAAATAAAAAATACAGAATTATGTTTGACAAATATGCTTGCATTGTTTCCCTGACTAAAAAACATTTTAAAAGTTTTAAATGTTATATTTTATTAAATAATGTATATATATTTTCATTTAATGATAATAATTCATAAACATGGAAGCTCAAGTGTGTACCGTATTTGATGCGCTCTTTGTATGTGTTGATCATTGTTTATATGGGATTAAAAGGTTAAACTAAATCTAAAATTAATTATTAAATTAAAAAATAACAGATCGTAGGAAAGTGCTACTTGCTGATTATTTTTCACAAATTAAAAAAATAAGTCTAAACTTTCATGTTGGGCTGAACTATACACGATAGATATGGTCATCATCCATGATACAAATTGCTGCATTTTTGTATTGTGATACATTGTGACACGACTATCATTCATTAAAATGTGCTCTTAAATGACTTTTCTTTTGCAGTGACATCACGTAGGCCCTCAAATTCTATTGGATGATGTAAAACCGGCAGGACACAGTACAAAAGTCTTGATCGCTGGTAATGTAAATGTGCATTTTATCCATTCTGTGAGTCCTGGAGAGCGTTTTGAGCTCTTCTTCTACCTTGTGAATGTCGATGTCGTAAGTGAAGTCCATGACGGGCGAGATGTTCTGGGAGAAGAGCTGGTTGACCATGGTGCGGTAGGCCTTGCCGCTGACGTTAGCCATGGTGTGCTGCAGCACCTCGTGCAGCTCGGACTCCTCCATCTGCGGCGGAGGAAGCAGATCGCTCTTCAGAAGCTCCACCGCCGTCGGTCGCAGCGCCGGATCGTGAGTCAACAGCCAGCTGATCACCTTCGTCTGTCAGAGAGAACACATGTGTGACCCTGCAGCACAAAAGCAGTCTTAAGCAGCACAGGTATATTTGTAGCAATAGCCAACAATGCATTGTATGGGTCACAATTATCAATTTTTCTTTTATGCCAAAAATCATTAGGATATTAAGTAAAAATCATGTTCCATGAAGATATTTTGTACATTTCCTACCGTAAATACAGTATCTCACAGAAGTGAGTACACCCCTCACATTTTTGTAAATATTT